TAATATTGGTAGAAGGCTGAAGGTACCGAAGGAGGAAGTACTGGATCAATAGGGTAACCAGTAGTAGAATGGAAAGATCATACCATATGCAGGAAGATAGGATGAGAGTTTATTCTAAGAGATGGGAAAAATGGAAAAGAGCAGGATTGAAAGAGAAATATAGGAAAATATGAACTAGGATGTTAGTAAAAAATTAACAAGCCTCAAGAGAGTAGAATGAGCTAGAGTCTGCAGAGGGGGAGGAGGGGGATGAGGGGAGGGAAGGGGGGTAGTGGGATGGGAAGGAAAAGAGTTTTTAGTAAGGGAAATATAGAAATGTTATAAATGTTTATTTGTATGAGAATTTTTTCCCTTTTTTGGGATTTTGTATTAACATGAAAAACTTAATAAATATTTAAATTAAAAAAAAACAAAAAAAAAAAACTGAGTATAGTCAGAATCGTAACAGGGGCCGCAATTATTACATACAAAAGGAGTATAAAGTATAAACATAGAATAGATGCATAAATACATAATCCATAACTAATTACCACTTGCCCTCCAGAGGATTTACCCCCCTTCCTGACCAGGCCATTTTGTGCGTTGCGGTGCTGTGTTACTTTAACTGACAATTGTGCAGTCATGCAACACTGCACCCAAATGAAATTTACATTCTTTTTTCCCCACGAATTGGGCTTTCTTTCGGTGGTATTTGATCGCCTGTGCATTTTGAATTTTTTGCTCTATATATATATAAAAAAAGAAAGACCGACAAATTTTGAGAAAAAAAAAACAATATTTTGGACTTTTTGCTATTAAACATGTCCAGTAAAAAAAATTTAAAAAATCAAATTTCATCATAAATTTATGCCAAAATATTCTGCGACATGTCTTTGCTAAAAAAAAAAATCACAATACGTGTAAATTGATTGTTTACGTGAAAGTTATACAGTTTACAAATGGCGGTATAGATACTGGGATTTTTTTCTACTAGTAATGGCGATGATCAGCGACTTTTAGCGGGACTACGGCGGACATTCTGACACTGGGGGGAAATGACTTGGTGTCACTGACATCCCCAATGACACCAATACAGTGATCAGTGCTGAAAAAAAAGCATTTACACTGTACTAATGGCACTGGGCAGAAAGGGGTTAATATGAGCAGTGATCAAAGGGTTAACTATGTGTAGGGAGTGTTTTACTAGGGGGCAGGGGGGGGGGGATGTGCACAGCCATCCCGAGACGTGTGTCCGAGCTGACAGGCAGGAAGACTTTGAAAACAAAACAATCTTCCTCCCCGTTGGAGATGCTCGGTAATCACCAGGCAACGGTGGGTAGTTACTGCGCTGAACCCGGTGATTGACAGCTGTGGCTGCGAATGGCGGCACGGGTAGGGCCCACGCGTGCCCCCTACTCGTAAATGCAAAAAATCACATATATATACGTGATTTTGTGTACCCCTACCGCCCTGTAGCAGTATATCTGCTATAGGGCGGCGGGGAAGTGGTTAATCTCTATAAAATGGATTAAAAACATGTATTAAAAAATTCTCAGAGCTATTCACCCTGTGAAACTTCATATTCGTTCTGTGTATATGCTGGCAAAATCAAATGAATATTTTTAGAGTAGAATAGAGTTAATCAGGAAAATATTGCATTAGAGTTACTAGATGGATCACAAGAAATAAATACTTACTTACTATGATCATCAGCTTCATCTAGTGGTCATAATGCTGTATTTTCCTGATTCACTTTCTGTTTGGTTGAATGACATTTGACCTGGACAGAAAATAGCCTAATGGGCATCTAAATCTTTATGATAAGTAAAGCACTCACAAAGCAGATTCGTAATTATCCTGTGAGGCTACATAGTGCATGTATCCAAATGCAAATAATATTTTTCACCAAAAACATATTCAGGGGAATTCAATAAAGCAGTAACATGACTTTTCTGGAGGCATGGCCCCTTTAACACTGCCTGCATCTAATTCATGAAAGCCTTGCACCACTTTGGTTATAATTACCGATATCAGATTCAGGTAGTTCTTATACAGCCACTTTTAGAATCTGTCATTATGGGTGCAACAGATTCTAAAAGAATCTCTCTCTCTCTCTCTCTCTCTCTATATATATAGTCTGCTTCTACAAATATTTGTGCAAGAATGGGTCGCTCTCAGGAGCTCAGTGAATTCAAGCGTGGTACCGTGATAGGTTGCCACCTGTGCAATAAGTCCATCCATAAAATTTCCTTGCTACTAAATATTCCACGGTCAACTGTTAGTGGTATTATAACAAAATGGAAGCAACTGGGAACAACAGCAACTCAACCATGAAGTGGTAGGCCACGTAAAATGACAGAGCGGGGTCAGTGTATGCTGAAGCGCACAATGCGCAGAAGTCACCAACTGTCTGCAGAGTCAATAGCTAAAGACCTCCAAACTTCATGTGGCCTTCAGATTAGCACAACAACAGTGTGTAGAGAGCTTCATGGAATGGGTTTCCATGGCTGAGCAGCTGCAACCAAACCTTACATCACCAAGTGCAATGCAAAGTATCAGATGCAGTTGTGTAAAGCACACCGCCACTGGACTCTAGAGCAGTAGAGATATGTTCCCTGGAGTGATGAATCGCACTTCTCTGTCTTGCAATACGACAGACGGTTCTTGCCTGCATTGTGCCAAGTGTAAAGTTTGGTGGAGGGGGGATTATGGTGTGGGGTTGCTTTTCAGGGGTTGGGCTCGGCCCCTTAGTTCCAGGGAAGGGAACTCTTGAGGTATCAGCATATCAAGTCATTTTGGACAAGTTCATGCTCCCAACTTTGTGTATATATATATATACATACACACACAGCAGGGGTGGACTGACAACTCATGGGGCCCCCGGGCAATAGGGGATCATGGGGCCCCTGTGTCCTTGTGTCCCCAGGGGCGGACTGATCATTTGGAAACTCGGGCACTGCCCAAGGGCCCGGGGTCAGTAGGGGGCCCCATGAGATGCCCCTGGTACCTTTTTCATAGGCTTTTTTGAGTTTGGGCAAGGACACAGGGCCCCATGATCCCCTGTTGCCCGGGGGCCCCATGAGTTGTCAGTCCACCCCTGATACACAGTATCTAACCGAAGTGAGTACACACCCCCTCACATTTTTGTAAAATATTTTATGATATCTTTTCATGTGACAATACTGAAGAAATGACACTTTGCTACAATGTAAATAAGTGAGTATACAGCTTGTATAACAGTGTAAATTTGCTGTCCCTTCAAAATAACTCAACACACAGCCATTAATGTCTAAACCGCTTGCAACAAAAGTGAGTACACCCCTCAGTGAAAATGTCCAAATTGGGCCCAAATAGCCATTTTCCCTCCCTGATGTCATGTGACTCGTTAGTGTTACAAGGTCTAAAGTGTGAATGGGAAGCAGGTGTGTTAAATTTGATGTGATCGTTCTCACTCTCTCATACTGGTCACTGGAAGTTCAACATGGCACCTCATGGCAAAGAACTCTCTGAGGATCTGAAAAAAAGAATTGTTGCTCTACATAAAGATGGCCTAGGCTATAAGAAGATTGCCAAGACACTGAAACTGATCTGCAGCATGGTGGTCAAGACCATACAACAGTTTAACAGGACTGGTTCCACTCAGAACATGCCTCATCATGGTCGACCAAAGAACACGTGCACGTGCTCAGCGTCATATCCAGAGGTTGTCTTTGGGTGCTGCTAGCATTGCTGCAGAGGTTGAAGGGGCGGGGGGGGGGGGGGGAATCAGCCTGTCAGTGCTCAGAACATACACTGCACACTGCATCAAATTGGTCTGCATGGCTGTCGTCCCAGAAGGAAGCCTCTACTAAGGATGATGCACAAGAAAGCCCGCAAACAGTTTGCTGTAGAAAAGCAGTCTAAGGACATGGATTACTGGAACCATGTCCTGTGGTCTGATGAGACCAAGATAAACGTATTTGGTTCAGATGGTGTCAAGAGTGTGTGGCGGCAACCAGGTGAGGAGTACAAAGACAAGTGTGTCTTGTCTACAGTCAAGCATGGTGGTTGGAGTGTCATGGTCTGGGTTTGCATGGGTGCTGCCGGCACTGGGGAGCTACAGTTCATTGAGGGAACCATAAATGTCAACATGTACTGTGACATACTGAAGCAGAGCATGATCCCCTCCCTCCGGAGACTGGGCTGCAGGGCAGTATTCCAACATAACGACCCCAAACAAACCTCCAAGACGACCACTGCCTTGCTAAAGAAGCTGAGGGTAAAGATGATAGACTGGCCAAGCATGTCTCCAGACCTAATCCCTATTGAGTATCTGTGGGGCATCCTCAAACGGAAGGTAGAGGAGCACAAGGTCTCTAACATCCACCAGCTCCGTGATGTCATCATGGAGGAGTAAAAGAGGAATCCAGTGGCAACCTGTGAAGCTCTAGTGAACTCCATGCCCAAGAGGGTTAAGGCTGTGCTGGAAAATAATGGTGTCTGCACAAAATATACACACTTTGGGGCCCAATTTGGCCTTTTTCAGTTAGGGGTGTACTCACTTTTGTTGCCAGCGGTTTAGACATTAATGTCTGTGTGTTGAGTTATTTTGAGGGGGCAGCAAGTTTACATTGTTATACAAGCTGTACACTCACTACTTTACATTGTAGCAAAGTGTCATTTCTTCAGTGCTGTCACATGAAAAGATATAATAAAATATTTACAAAAATGTGAAGGGTGTACTCACTTTTGGGAAATACTGTATACACCCACACACACACACACTCTCACCTGGTCACCAAGTGTTTATAACAAGCTCATGGCTGCAGATGCAGAGTGCAGCCATGAGCTTGGTGTCATTTTTACAGTTGGCAAGTGGCTGTTTGGTAAAAAGTGATCCAGGTGGCTCCCACCTGATCCCTTTTACTCTAGTGTTGTTAGACCCCTTGTGACAGCAATTGAGTTAAATAAAAAAAAATAAGTAGAAAATAAAACAGATTTTAATAAAATAAATAAAAATAATAAAAAAAATGTAAAGCCCTGCCACCACATAGCTAATACATGCAAATGCATGCATAGGTCCTGCACGCCCATATAAATAGTGATTGCACCACACATGTTAGGCGTGAACATCAGTGAGGCCAATAGTTCTAAGGCCAACATTAACAATTTACTCTGCACTGATAACTTGTAAATGCTTTTTAAAGTATATGTTACCCCTTACCTTGTAAAACAACCCATTCTGTTTAAAATAGAAAAGCAAGGCACAACGTTGTGTACATTTACTGCATATATATATAATAATAGTAGATAAATAGTATAATATAAATATAATAGTATATAAAATAATATTAAACACATCACCATTTACGCAGTAAATATATTTCTAAAGGTACTATTGACAGGAAATTGTCACCACGTCGGTAACAACCCATGCAATCCATACATACAAAGAAACTAAAACAAATTACGTTACGTGTAATAAAAATGGAAAGACACAGGGAAAAAGTATTGAACACACTAACTGAAATCTATTTAATACTTCGTACAAAATCCTTTGTTGGTAAAGGCAGCTTTAAGATGCCTCCTATATAGAGAAAACTAGTTACATGCATTGCTCAGGAATCATTTTTGCCCGTTCTTCCACACAGTCTTCGAATCTTGAATTGTCCATGGGCCTCTTCTATGAACTCTCATCTTTAGTTCTTTCCATAGATGTCCTATTGGATTCAAGTCAAGTGATTGGCTGGGCCATTCTAGCAGCTTTATTTTCTCTAGCAGCTTTCTATTAGCAGCTTTCTCTAGCAGCTTTTTATTCTAGCAGCTTTCTATTTTCTTTGAAACCTACTGAGAGTTTCCTTGGCTTTGTGTTTGGAATCATTGTCTTGCTGAAATGTCCACCTTCGTTTCATCTTCATCATCCTGGTAGAAGACAGCAGATTTTTATCAAGAATTGTACATTTTTGCATTCTTCCTTACATCAATGAAATGAAGCTTGCCAGTACTTTATGCTGAAAAACAGCCCCACACCATGATGTTCCCACCTCCAAACTTCACTGGTGGTATGGTGTTTTGGGGGTGATGTGCAGTGACATTTGACCTCCAAACATGGTGTGTATTATGGTATCCAAAGAGTTCAGTTTTGGTCTCATCTGACCAGACTATATTCTCACAGTATTTCACAGATTTGTCTAAATGTTGTGCAGAAAAAACTTTAAATGAGCTTCAACATGCTTTTTCTTCAGCAGTGGAGTCTTGAGTGGTAAGCGTGCATACAGGCCATGAGTGCATTACTTTTTTTTTTAAACAATTGTACCTGTCAATTTCAGGTCTTTCTGAAGCTCTGCACAAGTGGTCCTAGGCTCTTGGACAACTCTTCTGATAATTCTTTTCATTCCTCTGTCAGAAATCTTTCAAGGAGAAGCTGGTCATGGCCAGTTTATGGTGAAATGTTCTTTCCACTTTCAGATTATGGCCCCAACAGTGCTCACTGGAACATTCAGAAGTTTAGAAATCCTTCTATAACCAATGCCATCAGTACGTTTTGCAACAATAAGGTTGCGAAGGTCTTGAGAGGTCTTGCTTGTTTTCTTGTGTGACACCTTGGTAATGAGACACCTATTTTTTAGGTCATCAGTTGGGATTGAACCAGCTGATATTAATTTGCACTGACAAGGGACAGAATTGCTTTCCTATTACTGATAGATTTCAGGTGCTGTCTCAGCTTTCCATGCCTTTTTCCACCTCTTTTTCTTCATGTGTTCTATACTTTTCCCTGTGTCATTTCATTTTATTACACATAACTTAATTTCTGAACTTATTTGTTTTGGTTTCTTTGTATGTATGGATTGCATGGGTTGTTACCGACATGTGGTGGAAATTTCATGTCAATAGCACCTTTTAGATATATATTTTCTGAGAAAAATTGTGTCGTGTTCAATATTTATTTTACCCGCTGCATATGTATATAATTATAACTTTAGAAATATCTTTTTTAGAAATGACCACATGACCTCTGTTCTCAAAGAGCATAAGGGGCTTAGAGAGATGGGGGCAGAGAAAGAGCAGTGCACTGAACTTCTCAGAGAACAGCTGTGCAGGGGGGCATGTTAACAAAAGTCTTGGCCATTGGAGGGCAGGCAGGCTGTTCTTCCAAATATTGTGTAACAAAGTGAGCGCTATTAATAAGGAGATAAAATAAGCAGCTAATAGCACTACTGTCAGTATCCCCTCTGATGATGTGCCTTAGCACGAAAGGCCTCAGAAGGAACTGACAGCCTGTGACGCCTCATTGCCGCTCAGACCACGAGGAGGTTTGGCGGCCAGCTACATTTTAGGTCAGCGACACATTTTTATTTACTGTGTTTCCAGGCATTTGCCAGCACCATTACTGACCTGCTTTACTGAATTTCTTTTACCAATAAAATATTTGATAT